GGATCCCATGTGAAGTGGAGACGAGAAAGCGAGAAGAGGGAGGCGCTGGTTGCTGGTCCATCTGGAATTAGAAACTGGCCAAGGCTGGAAGTTTCATAAAGGTACACTTGCCTCCAATATTTTGCTGCGGCTGTGCATTTCTTCCCTGGGGTCTCGGTCCACGGAAAACACACTGAGGTCAGATTCAGGAGTCCTGAGTGCTCGTCCCACCTCTGCAGCGGGCCGTCAGCGACCTTCGGAAGGGTGCGGAGCTTCTTTGAGCTTCCGGAGCTGGGAAGCCAGCGCCCAGTTCCCCTCACTGAGTTGTTACCACGGTGAGAATGAAGAAGTTACTAGAGAGTGCTTCATAAATGACAAGATGCTCTAGAAATTGAAGATATTTCCAGAGATACATGCTCACCCTCAGAAGGCTGTAGTGAGAATAGAAGCCTCTAGTCTCTGTGTTCAAAGGAATCATCTTAGAGAGATGCTGTGTCTAAGTGGCATTTGGCCGCTCCCAAATGGGCCACAGGAAGGCAGTCTGTGTCATGGCATTCAAAAGGAGGCCAAGGGACACTATTTTACTTGTTCACCCTCTCTACTCATGTTCACCCTTGAGTCCTCTCACCACCCAATGCAAGGCTTGGCATACAGTGGGTGCTCACAAACATGAGACAAATCAATGAGTGCCAGTGTAAGGATTTTAGTCCCTAGTGTAGAAAATTCACCCACAGGAAAGGAGCTGGGCTGAGGGGAGAATTTCTGGAAGCCTGAGTCTAGGGTGAATGGCCAACATGGCCCCAGTGACTTCCCAAGACAAGCTGGTCACTCTACCAAGCGTCATACTTAAATATCCATTTTGCCTCCTCCCAGGTGGCAGGGAACAAAGTCGCTGAACTGAGGGAAATCTGGTGGAAGGCACGTGTGTCTCCGAGCTCCTAAAGAGTGGATCCCTAGAGATTTAGAATCTTGACGTTTTCTTTTCCCCCTTGGCCCCCATTTGTTTCCATTTCCTGAGCTGACACCATCTCTCGCTGTGAGGCACCAAACAGAATTTCTGCTCCATCAGATGATCACCTTTAAGCTCTTTCCCTGACCTCTGTCACTGGCTTCCTGCCACTAGTTAAATCTACCAAACTACCAGGGGGACGTGCGGTGCAAAACTGCAGGGCTTGCAGTAGGGACCGTCCGAAGTGCCCTGTGCGATATTCCCCAGGACATGCGTGGTGCAGAACCACCGTCCGGATCAAGGGCTGGTGGGTGCAGGGAGCAGGGAAATCACACTTCGGGCTAGTGAGGAGCTGTGATCGGCGGGGATTTCCCCTTTAAAAACTTATAGCCAAAGCCTGCCTGAGACCATTCAATATTCATAAGTGGAAAGCAGAGACGGTGTTTCTGTTCTGCCAAGAGCGATAGCTATTTATCACAGCAAATGACTGAAATCGTTGTATGTACAATACTTTACTCAGTGCTGTAAATTATGGCGTACAGAAGATTAAACTTAAGCCTAATGCTACCCTTGAGCCTCAACAGCTGAGTCCTATAAATGGCTCCCCGTTAAAAAGAATCTTTTTCCTGGTTACTATTTAAAAGTGTAGTTCTATTAAAAGCTTGTCTTAAACATAAATTACCAGGAAACCTGCCCCCGGCCCCAGGCAGGCTCTTTCTTGGGGCACTGACTCACAGAGTCACGTCTACCTGAAGCACGTGCTGTGCTGACCTCCAGAGGGGAGGCAGACAGAGCCCACGGGGGTGAGAGGGACTCCCGGTGTGCGGAATGATCACTGACGCTGTGCTCTGCCAGACCTGAAGGCTTTAAGGAGACCTTCAGACTCTGAATGATCCCGAACCCCTCAACACTTCGAAGAGCGTATTTCTTCTGCTGTCTGCTGGTCTGTGAGGTGTCATGGAACCCTGACCTAGGACTGAAGCCCCAACTTTCCTAGCTAAATTTTATTCTCCAAGCACTTGTTTTCTCAAATGTGGTCTACGGACTGAAAGCACCAGCATCACCTGGAAGGGCATCAGAAACACAGACATACTCAATCAGAATCTGCATGTTAGCAATTTAGCATTTAGCAAACACCTGGGGGATTCAAATGCACACTAAAGTTTGGGAATCATGGGATAAGAAAGCAGGAGTCAGCAGGGAGGGGCCCCTTCATTTTCTCACTAAAAATCTTACACATGATGAACAGGACGTATGGGAACAGAGCCTAGCAGTACAGCATAGGGCTCTGAATTCTCTGTTGTCCAGTCCTACTTCAGAATGTTTTCAGGAACTTGACAGATTTCTTTAAAGACTGGAAATGAATGTATCACTCTGAACTAGACAGATGTCCAAGAGCACCCTAGGGTGTAAAACGGAGTGAATTAGCCAAAAGTTCATGCTTTAGAAATCAAAAAGGTGCCTCTAATCTGCCTGTGAGTTAGTAGGCTGAGAATGCATGGCAATGTTTTGGGCCAGGATTTCAACTCTTTATTGTAATTACCAGTTGACTTTAAGTTAAGAGAAAAGTGTACAAAGGTCTTTGTGTTGTTTGAGAACACCGAAATCCTGGATAATTGTAGCCTTTACTAGGAAAAAAATTATTGTTCAGTATGCACGTTAAAAACTTAATGGCAATCACCACATAAATAAATAGATAGATAGATAGATAGATTTTTTTATAGATAAAATAAAATCTATTCTGGCCAAACTAGCAGAGAAAAAAATGGGAAGAAGGTTAAGAAAACTTGGCTAATCTAATGGAAGATAGGAAAGGAGAACAAAGAAGCAAACAGGAAGCAAGGTACACAGAAACACAAATTAAAAGACAGAAATAAGTCCAAATATATAAAGTAATCACAATAAATGTAAATGGATAAAACTTACCTATTAAAAGGCACTATCAGATTGGACTTTCACAAAAGCTAGCTATATACTGTTTACAAGAGAAGAGCCCAAGACAAGAGAACACAAAAGAGTTGAAAATAGGGATGCCTGGGTGGCTCAGTCATTAAGCGTCTGCCTTTGGCTCGGGTCATGATCCAGGGTCCTGGGAAGGAGCCCCACACTGGGTTCCCTCCTTTGCGGGAAGTCTGCTTCTCCCTCTCCCATTCCCCCTGCTTGTGTCCCCTCTCTTGCTGTCTATCATAAACAAATAAAATCTTAAAAAATAAAAGAATTTAAAATAAAAGATTGAAAAGAGACAAGACAAACATTTATTCACCAAAAGAAAACTGGGTAAGTTAATCAGATAAAATAGGACCTAAGGGGAAAATTAATGAGACGAAGACTCTACCATTAAAAAGACATGTGTCATAAACTTATATGCACCCAACAGCACAGTCTCAAAACTGTAAATCAAAAGCTATCCGAGTTCCAGGAGAGCCTGACATACTTATAACCGTCATAGGAGACTTAAGACCCTTTTCTCAGAGGGATGCCTCAGTGGCTCAGTCGGTTAAGTGTCTGCCTTCTGCTCAAATCATGATCTTGGTGTCCTGGGATCAAGCCCCCCATCGAGCTCCCTGATCACATAGAATCTGCTTCTCCCTCTCCCTCTGCCCCTCCCACTGCTCATGCCTACACACTCTCTTTCTCTATCAAATAAATAAAATCTTAAAAAAAAACCAAAACCCTTTCTCAGAAATCACAGACCAAGCAGACAAAAATGCTCAGGATATATAAGATTTGAACAAAATAATAAATACAGAGAAACTTGCATACAAAAGAGAGGGTAAACACATTTTCTAATCACACATGACACATTAAAAAAAATGATCGCATGCTAACTAGTCACAAAGGAAATATCATAAGTTCTAAAATGGACAACTTAGAGCTGACATTCTCTGTCCATTGTAAACTAAACCAGAAATCAAAAATAAAACAACAGTAAGGCCTCCCCCAACTATTCTTACATCTGAAAACTAAAACCACACTCCTAAATTACCACTTGGTGGTTGTGTGATTTTTTTTTTCTTCTTCTATGTGTGGCTGAGTTGCTATGGGACCACGTTAATTTACATGACATTTGTCAGGGGCTATCACTAGAAACAGGAAACTCCCTGAGCCATGATAACTTCATTCTTTTGTGCTTTGAACTTAATTCTACACCAGGGGGAAGATGAAGTACAGGAGTCCTGGAAGAAAAGAGGGATGTGCGTGGGTTAATTATGACCCAGCGTGTAGGCCTGGAAGCTGCTCCTGGCTCATTCCCCAGGCTGTGCTGGCTCGCCCCACTCTATGCCCATCTCCCTCCACTCACTGATGTGGGCTGGTTGGAGAGACTGTTCTGGAAGTGCCACTGGCACCTGGGGGAAGGTGCTATCCGGTTGATGTGGCATCTGACAATGAACAGTGTCCTGGAATGGAGCAAACACTGCAGGTAAGAGAGTGTATGGGGCCTTCTGTTCATTCTTTTCCACGGCCAACCACTGCTGAAAAATGATCTGGGAAGGCTGCAGAGGAGAAGCCCAGGAAAAATACAGGTCCGGTTATCCTGCAGGGAGGAAGGGTCTCGCCCAAGGACTCCCTCAAGACAAAACCCCAACCAGGCAAATGCTCCATCCCCTGGACTGCATTGCTGACCCAATTCAGTTCCAGAGCTAGCTGATGGAGGGGACAAACATATATATATATATATTTTATTTTTTTAAGATTTTATTTATTTATTTGACAGGCAGAGATCACAAGTAGCGGGAGAGGCAGGCAGAGAGAGAGGAGGAAGCAGGCTCCCTGCTGAGCAGAGAGCCCGATGTGGGGCTCGATCCCAGGACCCTGGGATCATGACCTGAGCCGAAGGCAGAGGCTCTAACCCACTGAGCCACCCAGGCACCCCTATATATATATTTTTTTTTAATAAGATTTCATTTATTTATCTGTCAGAGAGAAAGAGAGACTGCGAGCGAGCACACGCAGGCAGAGTGGCGGCAGAGGCAGAGGGAGAAGCAGGCTCCCCGCCGAGTAAGGAGCCCGATGTGGGACTCCATCCCAGGACGCTGGGATCATGACCTGAGCCAAAGGCCGCCACTTAACTGACTGAGCCACCCACGCGTCCCAGAGGGGACAAATATTAAAAAGAAAACCGTCCAACCACGGAAAATGGATGGTATGCAGGATCAGGGCAATGTGGCCCAAACCGAATTACTGACGGGTCTGTAAGTTCTGTGGGTGAGCGGAGGCAGGAGGCAGAAAGATGGAGGATAAGAGAGAGGGGACGCAGCTCTTCTGACTGTGCCTGGTGCACCTGCTGTGGTTAAAACAGCCTGGTGGTTTCCTGGGGCACAAATGTCCCCCAGCCACCGGGCGGGCCAGCTTGATGGGGCAACCCCTCCACCTCCAGGCCTCCCTGTGGGTCTCCCGGCTCCTCGTAGCAACGGCAAACCCACTACCACCACCACTGCTCCCCCTTCTCTGAAGAGTAGCTGAGGCCCAGGTTTGTCCTAAGGGCAGAGGTGCCCTACTACCAGCTCCCACGATGAGTGTCACCAGTGGTAAGGATCCGACAGCACAGCTGGGAAAGCAGGGCTGGGATTCTGAAAGCACCTGCCATCCAGGCCCTGCTTCCTTAAACACGTGGTTGCCTGATCACCTATATCTCTGGACATCGTGCCACCATCAAGCGGACACCCAGAGCTGACAGTAGTGTGGGTCACGGAGCAAGGACGTTGGTCGGGGCCTGGGTCAGTGTGACCTTGCTGATGGGGACAGAGGCAGTGCACTCCTGCTGGAGGCAGACACTTGCCAAAGAGAGTCAAGAACAGTTGGTGGACAGCACGGACCCAGCACGGATGCCGCCGCATGAACCTCTGTGGGAGGCTCAGGAATCTGAAGAAGTGATTCCTGGGGGAGGAAAGCAAAGCATTGACAACACTCATAGACAAGCAAATCACAGGGTTTGCCAGAGGCCACACCTTGGACAGAGATCGACAGCTGCGGTTTTGTAAAGCTAAGGGAACTTTCTCTGGAAAGAAAGTTATTATTACTCATTGCACATGAAGAGGGTTCATCGTCGTGGAACAGTTTGCTCGCTCCCAGTCGTTACTGCCCCCAGACCACTTATCTCTCGAGTCTTCTGCTTCGCCTAACTTGTGCCCAGTTCCAAGGGGCCTGGCTCGGTGTAGCCCTCCCCGAGCTGCAGGATTCCCTGGATCCCAGGACACCACTAACTGCTAAGAAGCCATGGCAATTTAACAGCACCTTCCTCCAGAGGAGGGAACAAGAAACCTGCCACAGTAAGTGTACACATGAGGGGAAAAGGGCTTTGACTTTAGAAACAAGAGGGCCTGGAACCTTCCTTCACATCCCCGAGGTGAACCTATACAGGGCTTCCTCGTATGGGACGCTCTCAGTGACCCCTGCCGCGCACTAAGAACCAGCCCCTTGAACGAGAACTCCAGAGACCCTTCTAAGAGGACAAGCGCTCAGCAGACTTCGAGCTTCGACAGCAGCAGGGATCCTGCATCCGGGTGTGAGGCAAAAATGGTGTATAATCCTCACGCCCTCAAATGCCCTTTTGTTAGAAAGCACAGCGCCCAGGGTTTGGGGATCGTGGACTCTCTCTATGGCCAGTTTCTCCTCCAGGGTTGGTGGGGGAGAAAAAGAAAAAAATCTCTGTTTCTCCGCTCCGGCACCAGATGAAGTGGGTTTGTGTCTGGGGTCACGTTATTGGAAACAGAAGTGCCTGACGACGACCATGATAGTTACCCCGTGTTTGTGGCTGGATTAAGATAAACTCGGTGATTAGACTCCACAGTGAAAGAGATGTTCCTGTGTTTCACTCCAAGACCTCAGATCAATTTAATCCTCAGAGAGCAGCCACGAACCTCCGGAGGGATCTGGGCACAGGTCCCCCGGTGTGCGTGCGCCCACCCGCGTATAGCCGCAGCTCTAGCTTTCACGGTACGGTTCGCCACACCAGGGAGGGACCTCTGCCTGCGAAGTGCTGCCCTCCTCACGGCTTGGGATGCAGAGGATTGCAAAATGACCTTTTGAATCTGTGCTGGCCACATTCTTTCCTTGGATTTAAATAAAGCGACGACTGTTCCCGATTTTCCTTGGTTGATACAGCTCTGAGGAATGGAGCAGGGCAGCCGCACAGCAGGGACAAGCCAGTGATGAGTCAGAAGCTGGGGGTCATGTTACGGGGAGAGCCCTCCAGAAATCAGCTGTGGTCAAGGATCAAAGCTGCAGCCTCCCAAGCTGCCCGCAAGGAAGGACGTTTCCCCGGATGCCGCCTCTCCAACCGTATTGGAACAGAGCTGGTCATTCTCCTTCAAGGAGTGGTGTCTTCTAAATGAATGTACTCGTTTACATGTGGAATCTGGCTTCTTCACAAACAGCAAGCCAATTTTTCTTCATTGTTTGCTTCCTTCCTCTCTTCTCCCTTCATTTTCAAAGACATATACTGAGCAGCAACTGTGTATCCAGCATCATCATTAACACAGGTAATATAACGCAGGTGATGACAGGGGTCCTGGCTCCTTGGAACTACTCCTGGTCTGGGGTGTGTGTGTGTGTGTGTGTGTGTGTGTGTGTGTGTGTGTATGACAGAGACAGAGAGAGGGAGAGAAAGAAAGGGAGAGAGATGGGATGGACAAGTCAGCGAGCACTTCTAATAGCCCTGACGTATGCAAATGCTGGTGAAGTGGAGGGCACCAAGGGCACCCTAACTGGGATCAGAGGAGTCCTTCCTTCTACCTGACTGCATACCAAGTCCAGAAATATGCTCCACGCCGGGACTCAGGGACGCATACGGCTCATCTGCTGGTGTTTGCAGGTGACCCTGCTGCACAGTAATCAGTCCCATAGAACATGGGGATGCTGGGGGCAGAGGAACCACCTGACAATTTGACTGGGTGGCAGCTGGCCTCAGCACAAATGCAGATAGAATACTTGGGGCTCTGTCAGCCTAAAAAGAGGTCTATCAGGGATGGTAAAAATGAAGTCACCCACACTTGGGGAAAAAAAAAAAATCTCAAGACCCATCTGAGATGGGAATTGTCAAGGTCAGTTACAGCCTATGATGGCAAATCTAGGGGCTTCTTCCCTTTTCTCCTCTCACTCAACCTCTTGGCATTTGACCGGGTCTACTTAAGGCCCTGCTGTCTTGGCTTCCATGTTGTCATCCTCTGCTGCTTTTTCTGCCCTGCTAACTAATCCGAAATGTTGACCCCTCTCTTCCAATGTGGCCCATCATCAAATTCTGTCAGTTACTTTTCCAGAACGGACTTCAAAGTTATCCTTTTCTATCTGCACAGTGCTGCTTTCGTCCCTAGGAAGTTTCCCAGGCTCCAAGCCACCAGAGTGATCATCTAAAAATATCAACCAGATTATGTCTTTGCCTCACTCGATGCCCTCAGTGTCTTCTCACCGCACCCAGAATAAAACCCAAACTCTGGGCCCTGGCCTGCAAGGCTCTATGGTTCTGGTCCCCACCCACCTCTCCTGCTGGGACATTCTCCTGCCAGCTCTTTATATGACTTGACTGCATTTTTGTTTATGTCATTTAACCTCCCAGAATATTGGCTTCAAGAAAGCCATGCCCTTGTCTGTGATGCTCACCACGACACCTGTGGCACAAGAACAATGCCTGCGTGTAACAGGTGCTCAGTAAACATTTTTCAAATAAATGAATGAGTCAAAGCCATGCGACTCTGAAGGTAACCCATGAGATTCAGCCTTCAAGAAAAAGGCTTTGATGAGATTATAAGGTAGACTTTTTTTTTCAATTAAAGATGAATTCAACAATCCTAAGGTTATGAAGATCCTATTGATTTAGCTTTAAATTTGAGCTGAACTGTTACATCTGCTGTTTGTTAGCATTTCTACTTAATTTACAGAAACATGCAAAAAGGGAATTTTGATGGTGTAGAGGAAAGCACCGACTGTGGGCCTCAGGGATCCATTCTTTTGTTGGAAATACAGGAGAACCTACAGGCGCAGGTACTGCTGATGGTACCCACTCCACCACCACGAGAAGCTCCCTTCTTTTTATCTGTCGATATTTAAAGAGGTTTGGGGCTGAGGCTCCAAATACACTCACCAGGGAGGATTTATTCCTCCCTTCTTCCTTGTGCCCGAGACTGTGCCCAAGTTCCTCACCTCTGCCAGTGAGCAGCCCAGGTCAGCAGTGTGGGTGAGGAAGAGACAGGGAGCTCAGTTGCCCGAGAGCACCTGTGCAGATCCCACAGGGGACCCCGAGGACCTCTCTGTAGCCAAGCCTAGCTACAGTGCTGCAGAGAGCTCCAGGCCCAAAACTTTCCACCTGGACCATGGTTAAAGTGACTTGAGTCAGACAGAGGTTGGAATCCCGGTTCTGCCACTTATTTCGGCCGGATCTGGAGCAGATTTCCTAAACCCTCTGAATTTCCCTTTCTTGGCTGTATGACAGGGAGAATATGACCACGTGGTGACAGGATTAGCTAACACACGGAAAGCTTAGCACGTGTGAGGGCTCACCACATGCGTCAGCTTTATCATCATTGTTGTTACTGGTATTTTTGTTTGCCGTTAGCAGAGCAAAGAGAAAAGTCCGGGTTGGGGACCAGGTCAACCTGCTCTGTTCCAGACCCAGCATTGACTGTAACTTGGGCAGATGCAAGTTCAAAATATAAACACTTGAACTGGAGCACAACGCAGTCCTACTTGTGGGTTCTTGCAGATGTAATGCTTGACTTAAGGTATAACCTTTTTTGTTATTTGTTAATCGGTCTGTCGCTTCTTTCCATAGGGATCTCCGTAGGATTTGTAGGAATTTCCTGAGGACCTAGCATATGATCCACACTTTACCAGGATGATGGGAAGATGCGATCAGAAGAAACAATGGCAGACACTGCTTCTGATCATAAGGAACCCCAAAGACATACCAGTCTAGGAGCTCATTCCGGACTGGGGTACATTCATCAAATTAAAAGTAAAAAAGAATCCTACTAACAAAATAAAGTTTGCACATATTCCCATGCTTTTGCCAAGCCTTATTAATTAATGCTGTCAGACTCGACAAAGACTATGTTTGATGAGAACAATTTCCTTTAATTATTTTGTACTTCTCCGGGGTAAGTAATCCAGTCTCATAAAAAACGACGAACAGTAACAACAACAGAAATGTAATCTCAGCAAACAAATCCAACTGCACTGACACTCAGACCCAAGGGCTCCGTGTGGTGAACACAAGCACCTTCAGACAGGAAGTCCTCTAGGATCATTAGTCGCCGATGATTCCCGAGAAGCCCAGGGGGCACTGACATTCAGAGGGACTGACTGTCTCTAGGGCTCAGAAGCCCAAATGGTGTGTTTCCTCCTCAACTAGAGGTCACCCGGAGACAGCCAAAGTGAAAAGAACAATGGCAGGAAAGCCTGGAACCTCCTTAATGTGGCTCCCGTGTGCAGGGCTGCTGGGCTGTGTCGCTCCCGGGACCCAACCGACACTGGCATCTGGACATGTGTGCAAGGAACTGAGGTGAGTTGCTGTCACTCATTTATTTTCCTGCTCAGCCTCTCTGCTTTAGCTCACAGTTCATTAAATCCTGCTGCATTCACCATCAACATGCAAAACAGCTACTTGAAGGGCATTCAAAAATATAATCAGGGAAGGGAATAAAAGCCCTCTCTGAGAAAGAGGGGAAAAATTAATCCTCTCTTGTCTATTGAATGACATCTAGGTTCTTTGGTTCGAATACATTCTTTTTTTTTTTTTTTTTTCAAGTAGCAGCGACATCCCAGGATTATCTCTGTCTGATGGATGGGGTGTGGGGTTGCGGGGCTCTCCTCTGCGTGGAGGGCAGGAACCAAATGTGGCTAAATGATCTGTGTCTATGGATGTGCTCTTTCTTTTGCCTCTTCTCCCGTTTTTTGGTTTGAGGTGGGAAAAACTGCGGCTTCGGGGCTTCTAGAAGATAGCTTGTATTAGGGTTGGCATACAAATGTGACGGGGAAATTAGCCCGGTGACCAGCTCTGTGGAAGCCGAAATAGTAAACTTTCTCCATGCTGCCGTACGTGATATTCTGCTACGTGTGTATGTGCACACGCATTCACGTTCATGCAGAGAAAAATTTAAATATAGAAAAGCACAGGATATGCGATAATACGTGGGGGTGTTCTATGTTATGGGAGTCGTTTTTAACCGGGGGCGGTTTCTGTCCCTTAGGGAACACTGGCAGTGGCTGGAGACAGTTCTGGCGATCATGACTGAGGTGGTGGCTGCTACTGGCATTGAGTGGACAGAGGTCTGGGAAGCTGTTCGGTGCCCCACACTGCACAGGGGGTCCCCAACACAGACAATTAGCCAGCCTCCGACGGGACCGGTGTCACTGGCGAGAAGCCCTGCTTTACTGTAGTAGCTCATTATGCAAATATATTGGAGATAAGGAGAGGGGAAAAAAATCATACTCCTTTCATTTGGACAAATCCTACAACTACAACTTCATAAATGTTCAACCCCATTACAAAGATACTACTTAAATCTATTAGTCTTCTTTTCGGCTGACTACAATATTCTAAATTGTTAAGGTGCGCCACTACTGAAAGTAATACTAAATTTTTTTGTCCATGGCAGGCACCTCACACCTCCTTGTTTTGAGCTCATATCCACGCCTGTGCACACAGGTAAGACCCCTGTGCACGCGTGCACACATGCACACGCACACACACGCACCCGCACCCGCATACACGTATCACAGAGAGAGGGTTCTTTTTGGAAAGATGGTAACGACTGCGTCTCTGGGATGAGGGTGGGCCCCACAACAACGGACGTAAGAGGAAGGTCTCACATGCCGTCCTCCGACTCTGTTTTATTTATTTATTTACTTTAAAGATTTAATTTATTTGAGAGAGAAAGACCGCGAGTACAAGTAGGGGGAGCAGCAGATGGAGAGGGAGAAGCAGGCTCCCCACTGAGCAGGGAGCCCATCATGGGGCTCGATCCCAGGACCCTGGGATCATGACCCGAGCAGATGGCAGACGCTTAACTGACTAAGCCACCCAGGCAGTCCCTGCACAAGATTTCATTACAAATCTCTGTAGCTTATTGCCTGGTTTTCGATAGCTTAACTTTTTTCTTGTTAGAGCAAAATTTGTTTAATTATTGTACAAACTACTTTCCAAAGGCAACTTCTTCTTCTTCTTCTTCTTTTTTAAGTAGTCTCCATGCCCAACATGGGGCTTGAACTCATGATCCTGAGATCAAGACCTGAGCTGAGATGGGAGGCAGACGCTTCACTGACTGAGCCACCCAGGAGCCCCAAGTTCTTTTAATCATTACAACCACCTTATGGGCTAAACCACTCTACCCATTTTAAGCATCAGGAAACTAAAGCACAGAGAGGCCAAGTAACCTGCCCAAGTCACATAGCTAACAAATGGTAGAGCTGGAACTTGATTCTAAGCAGACTGACCCCAGAGGGGCCAATCACACCATGGTATACCATGGCAGCGTATCAAGCTACAACTTGGGCTGGACAGCCTCCAAGGCGAGGCTTCTGTTTCCCCTTTCTGTGACTATCCCTAAATCACCTCAGCAACTCACCTAAGGGGCTTTAGAAATAGAGCAATCCCTCAAAATTCTAGATCGTCTGAGTAGAGGTTTAAAAGGCATTGAAAGGACCCTTGCACAGACTCAGAAAACAGAACTCAGAGGACCAACACAGGCTCCCAGAGAGCCCCTGCCTGTGCAAAGCACAGCTTTTTATGTCTGGGACATCAGCATGGGGCACAAAGTCAGGAGCAAACAGGAATGCAGAGTGTCCTGGGAGTGGGGACTCATGGGACCCCATATTGGCAAAGCAGCCAAAGCGGGATGGACCCTGGCAGAGACCTCAGAGAGGGTCCTGGAGTTTCACGGAGTTTCCAGAGGATCTGACACTGGGGCCTTATGCGAACATAAATCAGATCTATAGAGCCATATCCTCGGGACTCCTGGCCATGTAATCATCTTCAGGCTGACAATTCTTGCCTCCAAGAGTATGTGAGGCTGAAGATCAATCATGGGCCAATGTCTACAGGCTGACCTCGGCACTCACGTCCCTGAGACAGGGCAAGAAACGAAGACAGGAAGCATTTTACTGAATCGGTTTTCCCATTTTTCATAAGAAACATTCAACTTAATAAGAAGGAGCCACACTTTATTGAGAATAATAGCGACCCTTTCTTTATTTCTTTACCATGTGCCAGGAAACTCTACTCTATCTCCTCTCCTCACAGTAACAGTGAGGCAAGAACTATCACCTTCATTTTAGAGGACAGGGAGGCTCAGAAAGGTCATGCAATTAGCCCACTGTTACACAGACTGTAAATGTTAGTCCAGATTCTAGCCCAGGTCTGTCTTACTCCGAAATTCATGATTTTTTCCACTATGGCTTTCAATTTTTCACGTTACCATCAACCTTCAAAGTCCCCAGAACCAACTGCCTAAATACTTACACACACACACACACACACACACACACACACACACACTCTCTCACACAACCATGCGCTTTTTTCAGTTTAACTTAAGCAACCAGGACATCGAGATCTCGGATATCGTCACACACCCATCTCTTGCTCTCCGTGCCGGTAACCATAAAATCCAGGAGCTGAGTCACACGTGCTGCGAATGAGTAAGTGGCTAAAAGAACACCCTATCCAGTTCCATGTCGTTTAAAAAAGTGACAAGTCCAGGGTCTCAGGGCTGGGCACGGCTGAGCTGGGATTTGGCCCCAGGAACACTGGCCTCTAGGAATGTCCCTCCCGGTGCACCCCAGCTCAACTTCCTGGGGTCAGCGCCCGTGATGATGGGTTCATTTCGGGGCGTGGGAATACAGAACTGACAAGACACGTCCCTGGTCCTGAAAAGATCTGAGAGGCGGGTAGAGGGGCTGAGACAGTCCGCAGACAACCGAAGCACACGGCAGAAGATGTCGTGGCACAGGAGAACAGAACTCGATGGCTCCTAGGAGGGACGAACTGCGTCTCCAGCTGGGGGCAACGGGGCATGATGCCATGAGGAACCCGTGTTCTGGGGGTAACTGCAAGAAGGTGCTTCCTGCCAGTGATTTCACACCAACCACTCCATGAGGCAGACCAGGTGGAGAGACAGAGGCGGCCTGCCCAAGGTTACCCAGTTAACATGAATTGCTTTGTCTGGCTCCCATTCTATATCCTCCCCATCACAACAGACTTCAAATGCTGTCTTATGGACTCCCGCAGGCTGGGGCTCAGGAGAGGCCAGGCAGGCGGGGCTCGAGCTTCTATAAGAAGTTCAACGCCAGTGGCTTTCCTTTGCATATATATTTTTGGTGGGGTTCTCCATGAGATGCCTTTTGAAACAAAGCTCTGATAACAAAATAGGGGATAAAGACCCGTACTCCCAGGTGCTACCTGGCCAGTGAACCGGGGCAGCTCCTGGAGTCTGGGCAGGGCGGGGAGGGCAGGGGACCCCTGCAGGTGGGCATGAGGGACAAGGGCTAAGCAAGCCGACGATGCACGTCCCTCGCTCTGGAGTGGCGCTCCCTGCACTGAACCAGGCTCTGCACCTGCCTCGCTTGGAGACCGCAGGCACGGCGCTCCTGAGCCTGAGCCTCCTCCCGTTCAAAACAGGGATCACACCGGTACCTGCCGCACAGGGCTGCTGAGAGGACCATACACGCGAAGATCGGGAAAGCGCACGGCACGGTACCTGGCACTGAGCACAGTGTCCCTCTTATGAACTTGTTGGAAATAGCAAGGCTAGTCAGAGGGCATAAAACATAGAGAAAAGAAGTATCATGAAGCCACTGAAAGAATTCTCAGGGACACTGAGAACTCCTCCCTGTTCCCAAAGAACTGCTGTGGCTCTGAGCTCTGCCTTGCGTTTTCCAGGTCTGATAAGCGTGGGCTGTGCATCAGCAGGACACACACCTGAAAGACAAGGTTTGGCCGCCTCTGTCTGCTGAGCTGTGGTTGTGTTCCCACCGCTACTCGTCAGCTCATTCGGCAAGAAGCTCGGTGGAGTCTGGGCTTCGAGTGATGAGGTCGGTCACCCCAAACCCCCATTCTCATTTACTGCCACTGCTCAGAGAAGATGGCCACAAAACCCCAGGCTGTCCCCCTGAACTCGACTTGGCTCTTGAACTGAAAGGCCTAGAACAGAGGGAGGCAGGAGCATCAGTGGAGCCAAGCCCTTGAGACCTCTTTCACTGGCTAGAGGAGGCATCGCCTTGGACAGAACTCTGCAAGGCACGGTGAGGTCCCAGGTCCCTTTCTGGTTCCTTCCATCACAGACTCTGCCAGTGAATCAAGTTCCTAGGGAAGGTTTTGAGGGCCTATGGGATTTTCATCTGTCCCGTTCGCATCTGTCCTGTTCATCCGTTCCCGTTCCCCAGTGCTCAGAACAGCAGCACGTCCCTGCAAATGAATGAATGCCCACCACATTCGGAGGGCTCTAGCCTCCGCATCTTCCCAAGACAAACCGAAGCCATCGGCCTCGCGGATTCCATGGTCATTCACTGAACAAACCAGCTGTGTGGGATCCTCCCGCCACTGCTCTGCTTTCCATCCCCCCACCTGTCACCTTAGCTGGTAGGTGTCCCCTCTGGGTCTCTGACAGCTTCCCTTTGGAAAGGCCTGCCCTATTCTCTCCTCTTGGAGGAAGAGAGGGTCACTCGCTGCAGAGCACTGAGCAAGAAGGTCAGCTCATGCCGAGCACACAACTTGCTCCTTTCGGACTCGGCCTGCCAGAAGCGGAAATGTTAGAGCTAGAAGCACCTCTGGAAATCACTCTCATGGAAGACACGCAGAAACCAAGCTCACGGAGCTGGCCGCAGGAATGGCGGGAGACTGGGCCTCTATGCAGAAGCTCACTGTATGGCCCTTTCCCTCGGGCCCCCCCTCTACCTTGTGTAGGTAAGGAAGTTTTGGAAAGCGCCTATAAATCTGCATTCTCTGTCTACGTATTAAAAACACGAAATATTCCCACTGTATATATATATATATATATATATATATTTAGATATGGATATATCATACACATACATATTCATAGATGATATTAGAATACATAAAAACTATTCTAAAGGCCCAAATACACTTACTGAAGAGCTTGGATAAGCAACTCCCTTTACTTCAAACCTATTTATTATAGAACAGTGACAACTGAAGGGGGTGGGAGAGAGCCAGAAATTCCAAGTGTGAGAAGGGAAATGTGTGTTTTACAAAAGCATACCCAGGATTATTATCGCTTTGATTTTTTAAGACACGATATTTAATGTGCTTTAAGCTACGACAGTAAAAAAGGGGGCAGCGAGACACTACATTCACCCAAAGAGAGTGAGGCTTAAATACAAAGATCAGGGAAGCCTCTTCTGGAGTTCACAGCTTTGGAAACCATCTGGTCCAACTCCCTGCTCAACGATAAGGAAAGTTCCATCCCCAGAGGTTCAGCGACTGCCTGTCCGAGGTCAGTAGCTGTTTATGCTGTTTATGTGGTCCTGACATAGCGGTCACGCGGACTTTATCTGTCCTGTGTCTGTGGCACCTGCTCTGAAGGGGGGCCTAGGTTTGCTGGTGACTTACCGAAGGGCATCTATGACACCAAGGATGTAAAGATACAGAGGGAAAGCAAGTTCCCAAACACAAAGAGCATTCTTGGAGACAGAGAAACTGAACCGGAGGCGGGAGGTACCAGGCATCTCCTTGCGGCAGTACCCCCAACAGCCCCCACACTAGGCTGCCCTCAGCCCCAGCCTGTTCTGGGGGAAGAAACCCCGGGAGACTCAGTCTGGCCCCCTCGTTCAGGGATGTCGGGCTGCAGGGGCCATTCCTCAAGCCACCGCTCTGCCCTTCCTCTGGTCACCTTGGGGAGGCCCTTGCAAGGTTGGGCGGACGGCTGCCGTCTGGTCCCGTTTCCCTAAACAAGTTGCACGTTTTCCCTCCTTTGCTCTGACAGGGCTGAGCCTTTCGGAAGAAGGACTACAGCTCAGAAAATAGTGCCCCTGAGAGTAGAGGCAGAGCCGCAGGAAGAGTTTCCCCACCGCCCTGGGCTGAGGCAGGCACAGGGGGCCGACCCTGTCTGGGGGCCAACGTGGCGGGGGGAGCGGCGGCTGCAAACGTGCGGCGGGGTGCGGGGGTCCACTTACCGCAGTGCGCCTGGAAAACCTGTGGCTTGACGGCCTGATTGCAAGCACTGCACACTACGAGATAGAAGTCGTCATGTGCGGGATAATGGCCAAATAAGTGCATATCTGTGGGGGAAATGAAAACACGGTGTTTTGAAAAAAGCAATTAAGTCTCAGAAGGTCTACAGTTTCCTCTTGCAATTTCCTCAAGGACAGTTTTTCAAACGAGACGCGTAGAAACGCAATGATCTTTACTAAAGGGAACACGGTCTGTGCTCATGGGGCTCCCAGCTGTCACAGAAGCTGCAGCCTCACGGATCCCCCTCCTCATGTCACCCCTGGAGGTGGACTGCTGTAACCCTCAGTGTGGACAGCATGGGGGGCTGCCCCGGGTCCTATGCTGCGGGGAGTTACCTCTTCCCGACAGACAGCCCACGTGCTAGTGGGCACCTGACGGGGCTCCAGTTATTTGAGGACGTGGGGGGGTTCACCCAAGCCCATTCCAACTTCAGCAGAGGTCTCTCAGGTGGGTTGGGGGGGGCAGGAGGCCTGTGAGCGCTGCTGCCTGTGTTCTCCACGGCCTGAGGGAGACCCCATGGCAAAGCCTCCAAACAAGCGATTTGTTTGCTGCCCTCATTACCTGTTACTCATCTGCCCAATATTTACTGAGCGCCAAGTGCCAGGCACTGGGCTCGTGCCAGGAAGGACCACTGAAAGCCAATGAGGGCCCCACTCTCCTGGAGCGCACGGCGGCAGAAGAGACAAGTACTAGACAAAGATCACCACACAAGTCACAACGTGGCTCTCCCTGGGGTTCATGCTAAGGAGAGAGATGGAAGAGTCCCAGGAGAGCGTGTGGCCCCAACCTGGTCAGAGGCATTGAAGAGGCTTCCCCGAGCACGGGGTATTTTGGCTGAGACCTCGGGGTGCGTGGGGGTTCAACAACGGGCTGGGGAGGAAGGTTCTGGGTCTGCCAAGGTAGGAGTCGCTGTGTGTCTGAGGAACCTCTTGGTTCTCCAAGGAAGAGAACAAGGGGAGAGCCCAGAAGCTGTAAGGCTTGTGGACGGAAAGGATTTTGAACCTGATTTTAAAAACGACAGAAGCTACTGAGGGTTTTTGAGCAAAGGATTGACACGATCAGCTATACACTTAAAAAATCAGTGGTGTGGGGGTGCCTGGGTGGCTCAGTGGGTTAAAGCCTCTGCTTTCGGCTCAGGTCATGATCCCAGGGTCCTGGAATCGAGCCCCGCATCAGGCTCTCTGCTCAGTGGGGAGCCTGCTTCCTCCTCTCTCTCTGCCTGCTTCTCTGCCTACTTGTGATCTCTGTCTGTCAAATAAATAAATAAAATCTTTAAAAAAAAAATCAGTGGTGTGTCCTAAGGGACATGAATGCATACGTCCACACAAAAACTTGCTCATGTGTGCTCCTAGCAGCATTATTCACAACAGCCAAACAGTGGGAACAACCCAGACACATGTCCATCAACCGGTGAACAGGTAAAATGTGTCCTAAGCAGATCGTGGAATACTATTCAGCCACGAAAAGGAAGGAAATGCTGACACCTGTTATATCCTGGATGATGCTTGAAGACATTATGTGGAGTGAAAGGAGCCAGACACAAAAGGCCACATGTTGTAGGATTCCATTTGTCCAGGGCAGGCAAATTTAGAGACAAAAACTAGATTTTTAAAAAAAAGAGTTTATTTATTTGACAGAGAGAGAGAGTGAGTGAGAGAGAGAGAGAGCGCGCGCGCACAAGTAGGGGGTTGGGGCAGAGAGAGAGAGGGAGAAGCCGGCTCCTCGCTGAGCAGAGAGCCCCAGACTGGGCTCGATCCCAGGACCCTCAGATCATGACCTGAGCTGAAGGCAGACACTTCACCCACTGAGCCACCCGGGCGCCCCTCATGGGTGAATTTGTACAGTATGTGAATAAAAGTTGTCAAAAAAGAAAGAAAGAAAAGTTCTAAGGAGACACGGTCACATCCCCTGGAGTATCACTGGGTGCACACGGAGCCCTGGAGGCACCTGGCCCGGACTCCGCTCAGCCCGCCAGCTCTAGAGTCGCTCCAGAATCACACAGAGCAGGAGGCTCAGGGACACCGACGCAGCAGACACAGGACTTGGAGGACTTAGAAGACAGTGTCTGCATGAGCGCGCTTTCTGTCGCAAGCCTCCTGAACTTCCTCTCCTTACCCCCCAAGGCCTCATCTCCTAGAATCAACCTGTGTCTTTCACAAAACCCTGGCAAACACAGGACGGTCCCCCCAGCTGCAGAGCTATATCACAGGGATAGCCTGGTCGCCCAGGATGCGGGGGTAACTCGTTTATCACCCAGCAGCTGCCTTCCCAGGGGCACCCTCAGCGCTGTGCCCTCGGAAGAGCCCCACTGCCCGGAGAGAAGTGGAAGAGACACGTTTGTCACTGGGCAAGGGGCTGAGTCCTCTGTGGCCCTGGAGGAGGTGTGTGGCTGTGCGGGTGCCGCTGGCTCTGGCTGCTGCAGGTCCTCTCGAGGTGGGGGTGGGGCTGGGGACACAGGCCCCCTGAACTTCTCACTTGTCGGTAGCCCTGGGTGCGGCCTGTTATTTCCCCTCTCGAGGACTCGCCTCTGTTTCCACTTCTGACTAAGACTTGTTACCGCAGGGTAACGTTATGAGTCAGTGCCTGGTGGGCGGGAGGCCCCGGGAAAGAGAGTTGGAGAGAACACAGCCGTGACAAGTGTCCTGAAGCATGAGGAGGTCCATGCTGGGCCCAGCCAACGTGTCCGGGGCCCCTGGTTCAAGCAGCACAGCATGGGGAGGGTGGCTGTTGGTCTCCTTCACTGCTGACACCACTCAGTTCTACTCTGGATTATATAGTCCTTATTTTTATAATACATGTCCTTTTCTTTAATGACAAAATTGATCCATGTTCTTTGAAGACACATTTGAAAATTGCAAAAAAGCCAGAAGAAATTAAAAAAAAAAATCACCGGTAACTTTTATTCACATTTTGCATCTCATTTAGATGTCGCATTTTACGTCCAGGAGCTGGTGAGGGCTAAGACTGAGGACTTACTGGTTCGACAAGCATTTACCGAGGGGCCTTGCATCCTTTCTGCAACAGATTAAGCTATGCAGGAACAAAAGAAACTGATGAATTCAAAACACAGGCGTGAACAAAAATGTCTTGAGCGCCTACTGTGTGCGGGAATCTGTGCAGAGTCCGGGAGGCTCCGGGGAACGAGTGGTCTCCGCACCTCTGTAGTGCATGCCTGCTGACCTGTTCAGGGGCTCTCAGGAATCCCGCTTCTGGAATCCTTCAGAAATCTGCAGAACTCCCCCCCTCACCTCCGAGGTACACGCACTCGTCTCTGGTCATGAGTTCAGCTAGCCAGAGGCTGGCCGCAGCGGTGTGTGCGTGTGCGCGAATGTGGGATCCGGGAGAGAGTGTAGAGAAACCCTTAACTGTGCGCTCCTCTTCAGGCTCTCCGCTCCACTGAGACCCTTCCTGGTTTCCTCTCGGGCACTTTCAACCTTGCCCATCCATGTTGGTTAAAAGTGTGTCTCTCATGGAAAGTGAAAGGACCTGCTTGCCTGCCTGCTGACTCCTCAGCTGGCCGGTCTCAGAATCTCCTGTGCAGGCCGCCCAGGTTCTGAGAGTCCAGCAGATGGGGGGCGAGAGAAGGGCACTTGGCCTCTCAGAAGACCACTGCCTCAGGTAGCCTGGCCATTACAGTCCCTGTGCTGTTGGCTTGGGGAGGGAGGAAGGTCGGGCAGAACTGAAAACTACTACTCCCAGCACGATGCTAGGTATTCTATTGATTAATTTCCTTTCTCTCTCTCAACTTACTGCCCAAACAACACATTCAGTGCACTGTTGAAAAGAC